CCAACGTCCATAGCCTCCGTTGCCACCTCCACAGTTGTAGAAGAAGGAAGGAGAGGCCATAGATGGAGGGGTTTGAGACGCAGCAGAGGAGCGGGCCAGAAACAAAAAGAGAAAAAAAGATTAAAAAATGGGAGAAAGGGAATAAAAGAAGAAGAAAAGGGAAAAAAAAAGAAATTGGAAAACAGTAAAATAAAACGCCAACTCGGACATCCAGGTAGGCTTTTAACCGGGTAACCGGTTGGGCGGTTGGTTACCTATTAAAAAGCCGATTTGGTTGTTTTTTGATAGTTGACAAACTTAATTGGCTCGAAAAAAAGTACATGGATTTAATTGACTTTTTAGTAAAAGTATGTAGACTTATTTGAAAATTTTATTTTTGTTCCGATTTTGCAAATTTTCAGATCAGATGTGTATTGGTGGGACCTCGAGAAAATTTCTGAGTGTAAACCACGAGAACCACCTTCTCGACGTTTGAATATCGAGAAGTGGGTTCTCGATGTTTAAATACCGAGAAGCTCTTCTCGATACTCAAATATCGAGAACTGGGTTCTCGAGATGAAAGTATCGAAAAGTCCTTCTCGATATTCAAACATCGAAAACCCTTTCTCGAGGTTTAGCATCGAGAACCTCTTCTCAGTATTTCAAAGTTCGAGAAGTAGGTTCTCGGTTTTAAACATCGAAAAGCCCCTTTTCGAAGTTTAATATCGAGAACCAAACCTCGAATTTTGAAATATCGAGAAGTTGATCTCGAGTTCTAAACATCGAGAAATTGAATTTCTCGAGTTTGCACTCAGAGTAATGTCGAGAACCACCTGCAAAAACATATATAAAAAGCTTTTCGATGTTCAGTTTTCAGGTTCGAGAAGAATAGTTCTCGATATGTCAAAACAGGATTTTTTCAAAAATTTTCATCGAGAACCTTGCCATTGTGTGCGAGAAACATATATGAAGGGGTTATTGATGATCGAAAACCATTTATTCTACCTTTGGAGAGTTTTGGGAGGAGTTCGAAAGATGGAATATGAGAAAGCTTGTGGACTTCGAGAACTCAGATGCGAGAAAAGTGAATTATGAGAAGAAGTTCTCAAAGTCAGCTTTTATATGCGAGAAATTGGGTTTGGGCCTTGCGAGAAAAAGTCTGGGCCCAATTGTTTGAGTTGGGTCCAGTTCAGTTTTAAACAGATTTGGGCCCCAATTTTATTTTTGGTACAGAACTCCCCCTCGAATAGGGCATGAAAAAAAATGAAAAACACACACACACACACTCTTTTTCTTTTATTTTCTCATTTTCTCACACACTCACACACACACTTTTTCTTTCTTTTCTCATTTTCTCACACACACACACACACTCCTTTTCTTTTCTTTTCTCATTTTCTCACACACTCATACACACACTCTTTTTCTTTTCTTTTCTCAATTTCTCACACACTCACACACACACACTCTTTTTCTTTTCTTTTCTCATTTTCTCACACACTCACACACACACACTCTTTTTCTTTGTTTTCTCATTTTCTCACACACTCACACACACACTCTTTTTCTTTTCTTTTCTCATTTTCTCACACACACACACACACTTTTTCTTTCTTTTCTCATTTTCTCCCACTTTTTTTTTCAGAATTTCTCTCCAGAATTTCTCCCCCTCAAAACATGAACATACTTCTTCTTGTTTTATTTTCTCCCTGTTCTCCCCCTTAACACATGCAACGCACACCACACACACACATTTTATTTAGACCATGGAGATAACACAATTACATAGGATTGAGATTCAACATGCCTAACTTAGATACTAGGAACTGGAATCTTTTTTCATCCAGTGCCTTAGTAAATATGTCAGCTAGTTGAAGCTCAGTGCTTACAAAGTATAAATCAACATCTCCTTTCTCCACATGGTCTTTGATGAAGTGGTAGCGCAGATCGATGTGCTTGGTGCGCGAGTGATGAACGGGGTTGCTGGTTATGGCGATTGCACTCTGGGAGTCACTGTAGATCGGGATGTGGTTGAACAAGAAGCCATAGTCTCTGAGCTGGGTCCTCATCCATAGGATTTGTGAACAACAACTAGCAGCCGCAACATATTCGGCTTCGGCTGTAGAAGTTGACACACAGTTCTGCTTCTTGGAGGACATACAAACTAGCTTCTCTCCCAGAAATTGAGCACCGCCGGATGTACTTTTCCGGTCTAACTTGCAACCTGCAAAATCAGCATCTGAGTAACCAACAAGGTCAAAACCCGTGTCTTTGGGATACCAAAGTCCTAAGTTGACTGTTCCTTTCAGGTATCTCAGGATTCTTTTTACTGCACCCAGATGTGATTCCTTTAGATTCGACTGAAAGCGTGCGCACAGGCAAGTTGCAAAGACAATATCCGGTCTACTAGATGTCAGGAACCAATGATAGCTCGATAGTTGGTAGCATCGACTGACATCCCGGACGGGTCAAAGTCGAGCTTCTATGAGGGAGACATAGGGGTTTTCATGGTTGACTTGCTGTCCATCTTGAATCTCTTGAGCATTTCATGGATGTACTTCGACTGGCTGATGAATATTCCGTCTGGCATTTGCTTGATTTGTAGCCCTAGAAAGAAATTCAACTCTCCCATCATACTCATTTCAAACTCAGTGCGCATCAAGTTGTTGAATTCTTCGCAGAAGTTCGGATTTGATGATGCGAATATGATGTCATCCACATAGATTTGTATCAGCATGATGTCACTGTTCTCTCGCTTGATGAAAAGAGTTGGATCTATTTTCCCCTTCAAGTAGCTTGATTGCACAAGAAAGTCAGATAGTGCATCATACCAGGCTCTCGGTGCCTGTTTTAGTCCATACAGAGCTTTCTTCAGCTTGTAGACATAATGTGGGCGCTCAGGATCAACAAAGCCTTCTGGTTGTGCCACGAACACTTCTTCTTTTAATTCGCCATTCAGAAACGCATTCTTCACATCCATTTGATAGACGGTGAAACTTTTTATGAGCAGCATACGCAAGGAACAACCTGATTGCTTCAATTCTAGCCATTGGTGCAAAGGTTTCATCATAGTCAATTCCTTCTTGTTGATTGTATCCTTTTGCGACCAGTCGGGCTTTGTTCCTTATGATCACACCGTCTTCATCCTTCTTGTTCTTGAAGACCCACTTGGTGCCAATTATTGTTTTCTTTGGGGGCCTTGGCACCAGGGTCCATACATCTAATCTTTCAAATTGATTAATCTCTTCCTGCATTGCGATCACCCAATCAGGATATGCCAGTGCTTCAGAAACTTTGGTTGGCTCAGATTGGCTGATGAAGCAGGAGAAGAGACATTCATTTGCTGTGGGTGTTCTTGTGCACACTCCACGACTCGGATCCCCAATTATTTGATCTACTGGATGTGCCTTCGTCCATTTCCGCTCATGAATAAGAGGGATTGGAGTTATGATGGGATGAGTCGGATCCTCAAAGGTAGTGGATATGGTTTGTTGAGGTGTGGAGTGCACAGGGGTTGATTCTGGTTCTGTATTTGCTTGAGCTGGTAATTCTGGAACTTGTGCTGGTGAAGTTGCTTGTGTTGCTCCCATGCCATGATCCTCAATATCTTCTTGATCAGATGTAGGAGGTGAATCAGCTTCTTCTTCAGTGGGGTCAGGCATGAATGGTGGATGTGCAGCTTCTGTCGGTGATTGTGGGTTGGCAGTGCGTGCATTCTCATAGAAATGTTCAAATAGAGAGTCAAGAATCGCACTGTCAGCTGTTGTTTGCTTTGTTACTTCAGCTCCATCAGGTTGCTTTCCATTGGCAGAGAGATTGGGTTCTATCAAGAAATGTTCAGAAGCAAAATCAGCCATTTCATAGAAATGCTACATTGACACTCTCAATGACTGTTCTGCGCTCACGTAAGTAGACCCGATATGCCTTGGATTGCGTAGAGTATCCAATGAATACTCCTTCGATAGCTTTCGGATCCATCTTGCTTCTTTCATTTATGTCATTTAGAATGAAGCACTTGCAACCAAATACTCTGAAAAATGAGATATCAGGAGTTCTGTTGAAGAGAATTTCATATGGTGTCTTGTTGAAGCGCTTGTGGATTGATGTTCTGTTCTGAGTAAAGCACGCAGTGTTGATTGCTTCAGCCCACATGAAACGGGGAAGCTTTGATTGGATGAGCATGGTGCGTGCTGCCTCAACCAGTATTCTGTTCTTTCTCTCAACGACTCCATTCTGTTGTGGCGTTTTTGCTGCAGAGAATTGTTGAGTGATACCCTTAGTTGCATAGAAATCATCAAGAGACAGATTCTTGAACTCGGTACCATTATCAGTTCTGATGATTTCCACACTCTTCTGCAGAAAGTTTTGGATTGTCCTGATGAAGGTTATGATGGTTTCTGCTGTCTCATCCTTTGTCCTCAGAAATTTGGTCCATGTATACCGAGAGAAGTCGTCCACAATGACAAGTGTGTATTTGCGTCCATTAATGCTTTGGACTCTCATCGGTCCACATAGATCCATATGGAGTAATTGCAGCAGACGAGAAGAGGATGGAACAGGTTTTAACTTGTGAGAGCTCCTTTTCATTTTGCCTAGTCTGCAGGCATCACAATGATTGTCAGCGGAAGTCTTCAAAGGAGGCAGCCCTTTCACAAGTTTCTTGGAGGACAGAGTTGTGAGATACTTGAAGTTGAGATGAGACAAGCGTCTGTGCCATAGATGCAAAAACGTGAACCATGCATATGTCATATGTGGCATGAATGATAGCCAATTAAAAAATAACAAATAGAATATCTCTCTCCTTATTTGAACGGTCTTATATGTTTTTGGTAAGTTTTTCTCCACAATGTCAAACACAATGTCTAGATGTAGACACCGTGGTTGACATTGCAGAGAAAAACTTACCAAAAACACATAAAACCGTGGACAGAAGGGAAAGAGAAATGTCAAAATTTTAATTTTCTTGTGTCTATGTCTCTCATGCCACACGTGCACCGTTCAGCTCTAACAGGCTAAGACGGGGAGTATATAATTGGAGTCCCTTGCGATTCAAACCCTAAGCATCTTGTCCATTGCAATTCAACCATATAAGCATCTTCCGTGTTCAGAGTCGAATAGAAACGACAGCTTTGAAAACATTCTCAGCAATGGAGGAAATCTCGCAATCATCCGCGCCACCACTTGATTCCCTCAAACTGTCCCACAAGATTACGGAAGTCGCCGCCGGAGACGCTCACACTCTCGCTCTCACCGGTTTCAATTCATTCAATTTATCATTTCAATTGTTACTTAATCATTATCGTTAGTGCATAAGTTTTTTCATTTTCGTTTTTGTTGAGCTAAAAGTGTTCTCTTGCAGCGGATGGGAGCGTTTATTTCAAAGTAGTCTGGAAAATACATGACTATTCAATTCTCTTAGTTGTTTATGACACCATATTGGCAATTTTGATGTGATAGATTTTCCTGAAATATAATTGCAGATGAAAGTGGAAAAGCTGAAATCTCCTCTCAAAAAAGAAAAAGAATAATGGAGGAAATCTCGCAATCATCCGTTCCACCACTTGATTCCCTCAAACTGTCCCACAAGATTACCGAAGTAGCCGCCGGGGAAGCTCACACTCTCGCTCTCACCGGTTTCAATTCATTCAATTTATTATTTCAATTGTTACTTAATCATTATCGTTAGTGCATAAGTTTTTTCATTTTCGTTTTTGTTGAGCTAAAAGTATTCTCTTGCAGCGGATGGGAACGTTTATTCTTGGGGAACAGGAGTGTTTGGCCGCCTCGGCACTGGATCGGAGATCGACCAGATGTTTCCTGTCAGAGTTGAGTTTGGCTCTGCAGCTGTTAAGATTGTGGCTATTGCGGCTGGAGCTTATCACAGTCTCGCGCTTGCAGGCAGGGCTACGATTAGCTTTTTGTAGTGTTTATTTTCCTTGTTTGATGGTTATATTGTAATATTAAATGCTTTGGTCTTTCTAAGTGAAAAATCTGTCTTCACAACAGGTATTTGAATTTGAATGAGCTCATAAATTATTATAAGATGCCATATTAAAACGGGACAGTAAATTCAACATAATTGATACACCACTTATTAACACGGAACTATGGAGTCTAATCATTAAATGACCCTAATACAGTCATGAAAGTTGTTCTTTGATGTACACTAAACCTCTTCAAAACTACACTATCTAGTTTATACATTTATGTCATGTAAATCATAAATGAGACCTATCAAAATTTATAATTTCCTCATACTTCCAACTGAAAACAGATCACATATTCGTATTTACACAAGTACGGGTCAAGGTGATTCTATTTAAACAAATAATTGTAGCTCTTCATGCTGATGTAAATCCTGTTAATCCTTTTGAAATACATGCTGATGTTTATTCACTGCTATGTTATTTAGATGCACCCAATACCAATAAACTCTAATAGCTGTTCGTAACTCATGTGCTCTCTTTGTGTCTTTTTCATTGCAGATGATGGGTCTATTTGGGGATGGGGTTTTAATGCACGTATCCTTCAGTTTTTTTTTTCATTTAACAAATACCCTTGCTGCATCGACTTCACAGATAAAGGAATGTTTGTCATCACCATTTTAAAATCCTTGACTGATACATGGATGACCAACTTGGTGCAAATGGAGAAAATTTGCTAGCTCCTCATTTACTCAAAGGATTCATCGGGCTGGGTTCCCTGAATGCCTCAAGAGAGGAAGCGGAAAACAAGGTATTAATGGTAAGCTATTTTCATAGGAACTATGAACAGATGAATAGCCAGTTAGTGGTTACCCTTGCAGTAGGGTCCGTTTGGAACTTGGAAAGTGCTGTGAAAAGAAAACAGGAAGGAAATAAAGTATGAAGAGAATAAAAAATTGATTTAAACTATTTATGATGTTTTTAATTGGATTGAAATATTTTGTCTGGTCTGCTTAAGTCTTGTTTGGTCTGGTCTGGTTGGGGATTATTCTATGTAAAATTTTCAATTGTCAAAGTTTGGCCTTCTGACTATATCTGGTTTGGGATTGAAACCAGTTCAATTAAAAACATCCTTAAAAAGCCGTAGTTGTTTTTCTTAACGGATGTTTTATTTAAATACATCTATTATAAAGACTAAGAAATCTAAGTATATGTAAACATTTGATATTCCATTTTATTTTGCAATATATTACCAGACATTTAAGATATCCTGTATTTTGCCCCATTTCCTACCTTTTCCCAAGTTCTATAAATAGCTTTAGTTGACTGGTCCTTCATAAAAAAAACTTTGTATTCATTTCTTGCTCAGATGTCTTCTGTTAAAGCCGGAGCAATGATGTCTTTAGCAATTGACAGTCTAGGAGGTCTCTGGATATGGGGCAACTGCCCTCAGCCACAACAAGACAATCCAGTTGATGCTAAATTCTCTATCGCATGCACTCCTAATCCAACTCCTGTATGGAGCTTTCATGGGCACACTGTTGTTAAGGTAGCATGTGGATATGAGCATATTGTGGCATTAGTGACCACAGGGGAAACGTTCGACGGGGATAATGATCTTGTGTGCTATTCTTGGGGTGGAAACAGTCATGGCCAATTAGGTTTGGGGGATAAAGAAAGCCGAATCTTTCCGGAAATCGTCAAACCCTTTGATTCCCAATCCCCTTGGACTGTTTATGAGGTGGCGTGTGGGGCTTTCCACACAGCTTTACTATCAAAGAAAACCCAAAATGGCATATCAGGAAGTGTTTGCTGGACATTTGGCCTAGGTGAAAATGGGCAATTAGGTCATGGCACTAACCAAAGCCATTTATCCCCCGAACCAGTGAGAGAATTGCCAAGTACTGCAACTCTCATTTCGATTGACTGTGGTTTGTTCCACACCAGTCTTGTCTCATCAGCTGGAGATGTTTGGTCATGGGGAATGAAAAAAGGCATGGGTCTATGCCCCGGTACAAGGTTCACCGGAGATGAAACTGATGATGCAATGTTGCCTGTGTTGATCCATTGTGAATGTGGGCATAATAAGTTTCAAGAACCTGTCCAAGTTGTCTGTGGCGCAGCCCATACGGTTCTCCTCTCAGATTCTGGGTACAAGATCTGGTCGTGGGGACAGGGAAGGAGCGGGGTACTTGGAACCGGTCAAACAACTGATGCTTTCATTCCCACTCTCGCAATGTGGCCCCCACCTCTAGATGAAGGTAAGAACAAAAAAGGTAATGAAGAAATGAGACTTACCAAGGAGGTCTTTGAAATGCAGAAAAAGCTAAGTGCAGCCAAAATGGAGATAGGTCAGCTTCAAACGAAACTATCTGTGATTGGAAAGTACGCTGGCATCCTTCACAGCTCTATATTTGGGAAACCGTTTGATGACACACAAGATATCCCTGCCTCTGTGGACAGTGGGGGTACGCTCGAAATAGCAAAGGAGTGGAAAAACATGTGGGAGTGCTTGGATCTTGGAATGCTAGTGAGGCTAGAGATGTTTTACAGCAACATGCTTGCTGGTGTTAAGGATATCAAATTGAAGAGACGGATCAAGGAGATTGTTGTCGATTGCCTTGGCCCGATCCAGTTGTCTGGGACCGGTACCAGGTCAGGGACCTGGCCCGGTGGAGATGGCAAGCGGGCTCCGAGCTGATGTTTTATCTGTGAATGAGTTTTTTTTTTTGAAAGGGTCTGTGAATGAGGGTTAGTACCCATTATTTATGTCAATATAATGCACACAATGAATTGTACATTGTTAAAAAGTTGGACTTCACTTATCGCACATACTTTTGTACCCTTAAACACCCTCCGTTAACAAATACTCCCTCCGTTTCTATTTGGTTGACACAGTTTGACTTGTCAAGATTTAAGAGAAAAAAGTTATTGAGGGGTAAATTTTACTGTAGAGTACACTGTTTGGCACTGTTTGAACACTGTTTGGCACTGTTTTGCACTGTTTAGGTAAAGATTTTTGTTTACCAAATAAGGAAATAAAGAAGTGTGGCATTCATTTTGAAATGTCCAAAAAAGGAAAGTGTGTCAACCAAATAGAAACGGAGGGAGTATTCACTTATCACCATGAAGACACCGACAATGGTATTTAAGTAGACTAAATGTTTTCCTTTTTAATTATTTTGTGCAATAGTATACGTAGTACCTCATATGTATTAGGTATGACTTTATTCGCGTATTCACTTAACTAGATGAAGTACCCGTGCGATGCACGGGGTACATCTAAAGTTGAGTAATAACCTATTTGAAATTACATTTTATTACGGAGTATAATGGTACATAATTAATGAGCAATTTTTAAAAAATGAAAAAAAGAAAAGGAAAAATAGTTTCTTCTAGAGTTTATAATTCATCGTTTGTAATAGAATGTTTTTAAATTAAAAAACTTTAACAATTTGTTAAAATTCGAATAAGTTGTTGACAATGCAAGAATGTCAAAGTCTATATTATATATTTTTGTATTTTTGGAACTATTTGTTTATTTTGCATCTTTTTTAAAGTTACTACTTCCTCCGTCCCAATTCGATGGTCTCGTTGCGGTTTACAATGCTTGAGCGATGATAAAGCAAACAAATTCATGTCCGCACTCAATTAATTTTTTGGAAAAAATATTACATATTTAGAAATTAAACTAAATTAAAAACTTTGCAAAGTTGCAAAAATCAGAATCAAATTTGATTAAAAAAAATTGATATATAAAGTAAGAGATTAAAAGTGATTTGTGTTTACCAAATAAATACGAACTTGGGATGTTTTTAATTGGACTGTAATTTGATGGTCTAATCTGGTCTGGTTTGGTTTGGTCTGAACTGGTCTGGTAATGTTTGGTCTATTTTTATAACCATTCAAGTCTGGTCTAGTCTGGTCTGATTTGGTCTGGGACAGATTACAGTCCAAGTAAAAACATCCTGAGACCATCAAATTGGAATGGTGGTATTACAATTTAATTTTATGTTTTTTTACACTTTCACTTTATTTTGTCCTGCATTTATTTTTTAAGATAACTTGTTAAAAAAAATTATATCCATTTTTGACCTAATACTATTTGTATACTGATACTACATTATTTTTTAAATCTATATGAAGTTTATAAGATTCATCATTTTTAATTTCCATTGCAAAAATAAGTAGTTGGAATTATTACTGCACCTGTCCCATTTTCTTTTTAAGTTGTCCAAAAAATATAAACATTTCCCCAAAGCAAACTTCAGTAACATTTTACTTTTACACTTGATAACTTTATATATATATCATTTGTGCTTGACAATTTGTGGACCAATTTTGCTTTTACTTGTTGGATTGAAGGTTCGTTAGAATTGTTAAAGGGATAAGGCTCAAATTGGACACTATGGTTTCATCAAAATCTCATATTGGACACTAAGGTTTCAAATGGACCAAATTAGACACTGTGGTTTCATATGTATCTTATATTGGACATTAAAGTTTCATAATTCATATGAGATTTTGATGAAACCATAGTGTCAAATTTGAGCCTTATCCCATTGTTAAATAACCACTTTATCCTTTACTTTCTTCAAACTCGCACCAAACTCGCACAAACCATTGTACTTCCATTATTATTTCTTGAAAAAAAAAAACAATTGATTAATTATGTATGTATGACTAATATAAGGATGATGGATGAAAATAAAACCTCTGATACAAAGATACTCCGTACTATGCTAGTAACTATTTGTGAACATGTTCTGATGTTCATATTCAATTTTGTATTGTCCCAATCATTGAACGATACTCATAATAACTTTAGTATCTTTTTATCCGTAAATTTTATACTCATAAAATTCATTAACTTTAGTATTTTTTTTTATCATATCATTGAATTATACTCATAATAACTTTAGCTTCATTAATATTCTAGTCGTATGAAAAACTCAATAATTATTCATGCCATTTAAAATAGATAATTAAAGCAATTCTATAATTTACTTTTTATCATTTTATTAATTTTATTATTATTGGTAAATATTATATGGGGTATTAATGGCTACTAAGTACACTTATATGACATATAGATGATATAAATTCTATAAAAGTATATTCTAATTATATAGCCTAATAATTTATTCAGATATATGTGTGTACACATAACACATTATACAATAGTTAGGCACTCATCTATTGTTTTATTTAAAAAAAAAATGACACCCCATCTCTTTGGGCCCCCCAACACCGGCTGGACGGTACAATATAATGGGAGGATGTAAATTGAACTATAATCACAATCTGACAAAATAGAGAGTGCGACTCTGTTCTCGGTACTTGCAGAGGCCCTATATGTTGAGTAATCTCTCATCGCAATTATCGAGATTCGAACCCAGTACATAACTCTTGCGGCACTCTCTCGCTACCTATTGATCGAGCTACGCCCACCGGTGTCTATTGATTTATTGTATATATAGCTAGTGGGGTTTTTTGAAATTAGTTTGTTATGGCTTCTACTTCTACGGCGGCCCAGCCGCCACCTATACCTCCCGACGATGGGAGGAAATCGTTTGCTTCAGCGTTATTGGATATTGCGGCTGAACCTATTAAACCAGCCAGTCACTCCAAATTCAAGGGTTTGCCAGCAGTGACGTTTGAGGAATCTTCCATGGAAATCTTGGCGGCTAGGCATAAACATGCTCTGGTTGGTTACTTTTTCAAGGCCCGGCCATCTGTGATTACACTTCGTAAGTCTTTTGAAATTATAGGTTTCAAAGGGAAATTTCATCTTGGTCTTTTGGAGAAAAAACATGTTTTGATTAGATTCGAATTGGAGGAGGATTACCTAAGGTGTTGGAATAGACAGACGTGGGATATTTTTGGTAGCACTATGCGTGTTACTAAATGGTCTACTGATTTCAAACCTAATGTTGAGTCTCCTGTTGTCCCGGTTTGGCTATCACTTGAGGGGTTGCCCATTCACCTTCATGATAAAAGGGCACTGTTTGACATTGCTAGACTAATTGGTAACCCATTGAAACTGGTTGCGGCTACTCTAAACCTCTCTAAGCCATGGGTGGCTAGGGTTTGTGTGGAAGTTGATCTTACTAAGGATATGCCGGTAAGATATGGATTCAAGCTGGGAAAAGTGGTTTTATTCAGCCTGTGGTGTATGAAAACAGGCCATATTATTGTATTTCATGTCTGCATCTGGGACATGACAAGACTAAGTGCCCTAAATTAATTAAACTGGGGAGTTCTCAGCCTATAGGATTAAAGGATTCGGTTGATCATTCTAAGGAGCTTGCTGTTACTTAGGATGTTTTCTTTTGGACTGTTTTCAGTCCCAGACCAGACCAGAACAGATCAGACCAGACCAGACTTAAACAGACCAAACCAGACCAGACCAGACTTAAACAGACCAGACCAGATCAGACCAGACTTGGATAGTTATAAAATACACAGAGACCAGACGTTTACCAGACCAGGCCAGACCAGACCAGACCAGTTCAGACCAGACCAGACCAGACTTAAACAGACCAGACTAGACCAGACCAGACCAGACCAGACCAATAAATTTCAGTCCAAAAGAAAACATCCTTACAGAGAGAAGCAAAAGGGGATTACAATCTCTGAAACTGGGAGGGGGATTGGAAATCAGATTAAGCAAAAAAAAGCTAGTGGGGTTTTTAATGAAAGTATTTTTTTTGTCCAAATAATCTTCCACTTTCAACTACACCGGTATAATAGCACATAAATATGGTAACTTGGTATTACAACGACCATAATTTAAGCTTAATTTGGCTATTCCAGTTAGAAAATGATTATGCATTGTAAGCTACGTTGTATAAAACTTAACTTTACGTATATCAATTCTTAACTTTTGTGGCTGGATTTCATGACAAATCAATTTGTCACATTGATTATTTTTAGGGGCGGGCAAAAATACCGAACCGGCATGGTACCGAACCGAACCGATATGGTACCGGACCGAAAAATGAGGTTTGAAACGGATCTCAATTTTTTTGTCCCGAACCGAACCGTACTGATTCTAAACAATGCCATGACCGGTTCTCATAAAATGAGAACCGGGTACCAGACCGAATCGGACCGAAGTATGATTCAATGATTTAAATTTACATTTATACCCTTACTTTGACTACTGTCTTCACACTTTCACCGTCTTTGCTAATTCATAGGAAGCCTGGAATCGGACTGATGTATGGTTTAATTATTTATATTTGTACTACTATAATTTATCTGAAATTTATTAATTATGTAAAATACTACATTCATCCCAAATTGATTTGCAAAATTAACTTTTCTTGGTCAAACAATTTCATTTCATTCACTTAACTAGAATGTCACTTTTTAGTTATATTTAATTTGGAGCTTGCAATCTTGAAGAGATTTCAATGTAGTTTATGAATATGTTTATTTTAATTATTAAAAAATAAATCAATTATCAATAAAGAGAATTTAACTTTAACATGGTTGACAAAAAAATTATTGACTTTGCATGTCAATTTGGGATAAAATGAGTATGAAAATTGATAAATTGTGTCGATTTTTGGAGGATGAATAAACTTTAATTTCCTCTTAAGCACTTGAAAAAAGTGACATTGTTTGGTATTGGTATGGGATGGTACCGTCCCGTTTCAAAATGAAACCGTACTGAACGGGTTTAGGTCTAAGACCGAACCGAACCGAACCGTTTGAATAGTAACGGTACGGGTACGGGTTCGGCCAAATATTGGACCGGACCGGACCGCGCCCACCCCTAATTATTTTTGGGCGGAAATTTTCCTCCAAAAGTTGACAAACCAAAGTAGAATAAATAAAATGGGACTGAGGTAGTAACATTTTATACAAAGTGATCCTGAAGCAATACTCTGATACTCATAATAACTTTAGTCACATTTTTCTCAACAAATTTTTTATTAGAAAAACCCATTATTTTGCCAATGTCAGAGTTTTATAATAAAACCATTTCATATTTTACTTTTTCGAGTTTATCAATAATAATTATTATTATTACTAAATAATATTACTGCAAATTAGAATTAGAATAATTTATTTCATATTTTACTTTTTCGAGTTTATCAATAATAATTATTATTATTGCTAAATAATATTACTGCAAATCAGTGGCG